CTTTACGTCCGATGGTCGCGGGTTCGATTCCTCGCACGGCACAAACATTTGTATTCATGAGTATGATTGTTTGTATCGGTCTGGGTGTTTTCTATGTACAATAAGTATGTATTTACGAAAAAAAAATATCTATGTACTTGTATCAGTTGTCTAGTACCCATAACACAAGCTTTAGCTAGCTTAACTTGGGTCTAGATGGCGTTGTGTGAATTGTCCTGAGATTATTATATATATAATAATATAATTGTTATTATAGTGGTGTCGGTGTAAATCGCTGTACTCTTGTGCCTCGACACCGTTACATCAGCGTTCGATATAGTAAGTCAGTGTCACTATCATATTGGTTCATGAGGTCAGTACCACATATCAGGATCCATATAATTTTATTTACTTACAAACTTCTCGTCCCGTTTCACCCGCATGTTTGTAGCTTATGTGTTATAAAGATTATTTTTACGGTTTTTTTTTCGGACTACTCTAATGCTTTTGGCCGCAGCTGGCCTTTACAGCTTCACCGGACGATAGGAAGCGAGTGCAGATGACACTCCAAACCAAAGGAAGGACTTATGGAGCGACTGAAGGCCAGTCCTGCCTGGCGGATACGACTTTAGTCTGAGGGCACCGCTAGGGGTACGAACCTCGGCTCAGGCCGTCGCAACATCGAGCCCCGTTTGAATTGGACGGGGGATCGATCGGAGGGGTTTTGTTTTACGTGAAACACTATCAAACATCCATTCATCTTTAAAAACTTTCGTGTTTGTATCGAAAACCATGTTTCAAAACTGAAATTCCCCAGGAATTTATCACGATAGGCTAAACAACCTGACCTCAGGCTCATCTTATACTCCACTGGTGCCTCGCCGGCGTATACCGTTAGCGCAGGCGGGTGCACCATTCCATTATATCCATAAAAAAAACGTTGGGTTAGCTAATTTGCATGTATTGGTATATAAACAAATGAGATTTGTAACCTACATTTGACTTCCGTCAAATATTACATGTAACACGACGTATAGTTGAAAATAACTGGGCAGTTGTTGATTGCTAAATAATATAGGCCGCGCCGGCGCAGGAAATGTATTACGAGATGAGAACAGCGGCGCCGGGTTAACTAACTTGCTATAGTAGGTTCAATTCCCAGTTCTATTCAAACTACGACGGGTCGATATTTGAATCACCAGCGGTGCCCTCAGACTAAAGTCGTATCAGTGAGGCAGTTTTTTTTTCATGGATGATAATGGAATGGTGCACTAGCCTGCGCTAACGGTATACGCTAGCGGATGATAAGATGAGCATGAGGTCAGGTCAGCACATCGTGATTAAATAACCACAATAGTGTCCACAGGGAGAACCGCGTGGAGGTCGACTTAACATGGTACTTGCTAGCGATGGGGTCGCCAGACACCAATACTAACACCATCTCCCACCCTCACTTACGGCCTAGGCGCTATAAGTACTTCCGCGTGTTTGGAGTGACATCTGCACAAACTTAGCGAATCTGTGAAACCATCGCGGACAAGATGCTGCTGAATTTGCAGCAATGTACCTGAACTTGACCTCCTCATGGTACTCATCTTTTATCCTCCGGTAATTTCTGGTGCCCCGCAACAATAGCTGTATACCGTTGATTTTGACCAAAGAGATATGCAAAGACACCATATTTAATCATCCCTTAAATTTACATATGACAAATTATACCTTGATTAATCTAGTTTTAAGAATCAGTACCGTAAAGTCAAAATTATAACATATATTTGGTCAAAATTTTCTATTTTCTGCTCAAAATATACATATTTTGACCAGAGATATGCGGAATTGAGATCACAAATTTAATACTTAATTATTTACATACTAACTATACTATATATAATATGTATGTATTTACAAAAAAAATATCTAAATATATGTATCAGTTATCTAGACAACAGTAACACACAAGTTTAGCTAGCTTAACTTGTCTAGATGAGTCTGCTGTGTGAATTGTCCTGAGATTATTATTATTAACTATTCAAAAGTGCTTGTAATGAGTTGAAATTTAATAAAGATTATTTCTATGTGTTATTCTGATGTATAAGCTATATTACTGTAACCTTTCATCAAAATCTGTTCAGTAGTTTTTGCATGAAAGAGTAACAAACATCCATCCATACTGACAAACTTTCGCGTTTATAATATTAATAAGATATTGGAATATTTATTATTAATGTACTACTAATAATTATTAAAATCTATACAACAGAGCAACACACTTAACTAATCTTTATTCAAATAAACTCATTACAAGCACTTTTGAATAGTCATATTTTGATTCTACCACTCATTCGGAACGCAGACTCATCACAAGAAGAATGAGTGAGAAACTTGTGTGTTGGTTTTTTTAATAAATGTTGCTTTAAGTAGATTTATATTAACAAGGATTAATACAACAATCAACATGGAAACTTCTAGGCAATCAATCATTGTTCAATCAGATAACATTTCAATTAAAAAGAATGTTAGGTAAATATAATGCAAGCTCTCTTTAGTTTGGGACTAGATGGCACTGTGTGAATTTATTCTGACTTAATATTATTACATAACTAGCTGTAATGTAATAATATAAGGAATTTAATTTTATATGTTTTTTTTTCTAAAATAAAATAAAATCCAAAATAATATTAGCCTAAGTTACTCCTTATTACATCAGCTACCTGCCAAAAAATTCCTATCAAAATCGGTCCAGCCATTTCAGAGATTAGAATTAGATTAGAAAAAAATTGTAAAAAATGTTATTTTGGTTTATGTACCTTATTTATATTCATATACATGTAGCAAAAAATGGTTATTTCAATATTACAAACAGACACTCCAATTTTATTTATATGTATAGATGTATAGATAATAAATCATTTTGAAATTATTAGTCACAGGAGGAAGGTAGAATTTTTTTATTTTGTGTTTTGTGCTATTGTCAGATGCTAAGACCTGTAGCACTGCGACCTACATAGATCTATTGTGCTCACCCTTTTTCAGAGTTCGCTACCTATACCCATCAGGGACAAGAATTGAAGGATATTCTAAGAGAGGTAAATGTTAGAAATCATGAATAGTGACCCCATTGCTAGCAATGACATATGAGATTGCCTCATGTGGTCATCCCTCATAATAGTTACTGCCTGGTGTATTTGTCAGAATGGACTAACTGACCAGAATATCTTGATCCTGTTTATATTTATAGGAATAGATAAAATTAATATCCATATTTAATTTTAAATTAACACTTCCCACTTTCCCACTATAGTCATATGAAAGTATATAATTTATAAAGTAATTTTTATTTCAATTGTCATTATAAAGTAATAAAAATATCTGTCTGTCTGTCTGTTTAGTCTTTTTTCTATACTACTATGGCCCTGTTAATCTCTGAACCAGCCATACTGATTTTACAAGACTTTTACTTGCAGATAGCTAATGTTGTCAGGAGTGACTTGCCCTAATTTTATTTGAAGATTTTGTAAAAAAAATTACTTTCCATATGGTCAAAATAGTAACAGTTTGGTCGTACCAACCTGAATTTATTTTTATTTATTTATTTAAACTTTAGTTTAAATAAATAAATAAATAAAAATAAATTCAGGTTGGTACATAATTGCACCAGACAAAGAAAAAACACAAAATGATATTACATAAACTGATACAAAAGGTGGTCTCATCACTAAGCAATCTCTTCCAGAGTACCAGTAGAGAAAGTAACATTAAGATAAGAAAGGGATAGGTGGTGCACATAATGAACATAAATATACATTTGTACATAAATATATCTATTAATATATATAATAAAATACAAACATACATAAACATACATATACTTAATAATGCACATATCTTCAGAAAATATGAAGGGAACTATGAGACAAAGAGGACAATATGAACTTAAAGGGAAACCTTACACTATAAACCAAGCATATACCATGCAGTATTCCATTATCATTCAATTAAAGAATGTGTATATGTATAAATACTGTGTATTAAGTGGTATATGACAAAGAATTTATAGTAACTATATTTCTGACAAATTAAATAAGGGATGACTAATCTAATACTCATATACAGAGTATGTATTATAATAAATTTATAGTAATTTTATCATAAATTTTAAACAAAACAAATTTCATAAGTGTGTCACTTAAATATAATAATGTGATAATTACTTATGGAAAATTATTGAGTTATTAATATGAAATTGTAATATTAAATCTGTCTTGTAAGACCAAGCCTTTTTAGTAATTAAATAGACATTGTTAATTTTATTCCCGCGTAATTGTTATCAAAACGATAATTTTTTTGTTTTTTTTTCTCAGATTGCAAGTCAAGGAATACAACCACGTACAAAAATCAAGAAACATAGATACATAAGAACAGCTCTTTACTAAAAATCTATTTAAAATTTGTGATGTCACTTCGATTTGTAGGCGCAGCAAGCCAAGGCCGTAAAAGTTAACACAATAACATAATTAATGTCTAATAAATCCACCAAATTAATACCAATGGAAGTATGAAAGGATTAATTACATAAGGCGTTCCTGTTGCCCAAGGAAACCATTTACAGGGTAGCTTTTTAATGCTGAAATTCTGAAGAGCAATGTCAACAACATCTATACAGCCAAATATAAGTAATTAGACCAAATTTAAACTTCATTTATGTATCTATATAAGAGTATTGCTTCAAGTAGAATGCGAAAATTGGTGGAATTAGGTTACGGACGGACCGCGATCGATATATTTATACGAAATCCTGAAAAGCTGCAGACACAAGATGGCGGGAGTATAATGCGACCGAAATGAGATGAACGGGAATACTAGGAGGCAATACACCAATATTGAAGGGATCTAAATTTGGGCGGGTTATAAGTCTGATCGCACAGATGTAGAATTTCTTATTTCCTGGCAGTTTTCTGTAAAGTTCACAGGATTGCGAACAATGTATATGATTATTTATATGGTTAAGTTGTTTAACTCACCGTTTTCTTGCTCCGGTATTGATTAAAACATCACAAAACACTTATTTTTTTACACACGCCCATACAACATGTAACAACATCACGGGTACTACTGCGCCATCTGGTGCTCTCAATCATCGAAGTGCATTGATCACCCAGAGCTATGTTCACACCAGTTTAAATAAATTCAATTTCTTTTCATAAAACTCAAATACAAGCTGACGTAATTAAAATTAAACGAAATATAATGATGTGTACAAAGTTCTAAATCATTTCATTCACCAAAGCACGCCTTTAAAAACTGCCAATTGACCTACACAGACAAAGGAGTCATACAGTATTGATTGTTGTTGTTTTAAAATTCGTCCAATTTGGACAGGCGAAGAGCATTGCCCATACTGCCTAGTCAGTAGTTACATTAATCTTCAGTATATAAAACGTTTTATGTCTTTCGTAGAATATCCAAGCTATTCTTGATTGCTTCAGTCAAGTTATTTCTTAAGTAGAATGTCTGAAATAATTTTCTTCAGTAATTCATATAATTGGTCATAATATGTAATTTGTCATATCCAGGTTTTAATAATCCATTTCCATGTTTCATTATCTCAGCCAGAGGTACCATCTCAGAGTCAAATATTATTATATAATTCTAATCAAAGGACATATAATTACAACAAAAAAAATATTTACAAAATCTATATAAAAAACTACGTGTATATTAAAAATACAATTATTCATATTTCGCCAACAGAACTATGTACATAATTATACAGAGACGGTTAAACATACTGATTAGTTAGTAGATGTTCCAACGCGGGACAAGTTCATCCTTATTGTAAATTTGGATAAGCTCATCCATCAGCACAAGGCGCTGAATACTGCAAGACGAGCAAGAGAAGAGAAGAGAAGAGAAGAAAAGATGATCTTCTCCACATTGACAATATTCACATAGAGGTGTGTTTGCTATTTTTAGCTGAAAAGATGAAAATTAAGACGACAGTGTCCGAAACTTAAACGACTTATAATAGTATAAAATTTTCTACTGTGAAAATATGTAGACCTACAAAACCAAGGGGTTTTATTAATATTGCTGTTTATTCTAGCATGCCATAGACCTTTGTTCAGTGTTGATGTGCAATAGCCAAAATGACACTTCCATTTCTCACACATTCTATCTTTACAGGTCTTTATGATATCTGTGTAAGACACTGACAGAAAGATATCCTCATCATTTGAGAAAATGAAAATGATTACACGGAAAGTCTACACTTTCGTTTCCATACACACCAATATGAGATGGAGTCCAACAATGGCGATTCGTTGAACTACTCAAAGTTTGACGCATAGTTATTTTTGTTCTATTTCACAGTTTAACTAAGAATGTCGCATTCGCACCATACCTAATGTGACCAGACGTCCCGTAATGAACGGGACAGTCCCTTTTTATAATTACGAGTTAGTTACCAAAATTGTCCCGTTTTCGGTAACGGATTTTGGTAGCTAGTGTTATTGGTAATTAAGTTATAAAAAAAATGTGCGAGTGTCATTCTTAGAAATACTTCAAAAAGTCGCGTGTTCCTCCGATAAATATATATATAACAAAACATTTTATATTTACATATATTTCTATAAACTTTTTCTGAATAGGTAAATTTAAAAAAGAGTTTTTTCATTGTTGAAGGAAGAATAAATGGTCACATTAACTATACCGCTAGCTCAGTTAGTTACCATTTTAGGATGGTAGCTAGTAGGTTTGAAGCATATCTTAAATTGTGCTCACAAGATTCATTTTATTATAAAAGTTTAATATATACTAGTAGACGCTCAATGGGCGAAATTCGAACATAATTAATAAGATCGATTACTTATAAAGTCATTTCGGTAGTTTGTATTTTTTTTTATATTTAAATACATTTTTCCACAGACATATTCGTCCGTGCCTTTTTTAATTTACTTTAATATTATAATATTTATTTAATTTCCACTTTTGTACAACTCCAGCCGAGATGTTACAATTTGCCTAACAGTGGCACCGAGGCAGACCTTATCCGTCTGGCCCAGAACCACCGCTGGCCGGCCGGGTGAGTTGACAACATGCAGTGTCACCCATCTTTATTTGGAGGATTAGATTTACCAATATGCATATACAATTATATAAATCTTACACTACTAATTTCACAGTTTTCATTACATTATGCAATGTAAGAATTCATAATGTAACAATACACATTATGAATTCTTACACTGCATATACAATTATATGAAATCTTATTTTGACACTATTTTCAAAGTTCACTATTTGTTATAGTCCAGGTTTTGTTTAATTATTGATTGTTTAATTTCACAGTTCACTTTTTGTCGTAATTCGGCAATTTAGGTAGTAGGTAGTTTGTATTCTCACACAAAAGTAACGCTGAACTATATGTATTTAAAAGAGCAACACACAATTTTCTTTCGCATTCTTCTTGTGATGCGTCTGACGAATGAGTGATAGAATAAAAAAATATGTTTATTCAAAAGTGATTATATTCAGTTTATTTGATTAAAGATTATTTCAATTTCTTTAATTCGTTTAATACTAATTTATTTATAAGTATTGCTAAAGACGAAAACAATTTAGAAATACAAGACGTCGTAATACTGGTGTAGATTTGTCAACCTAACGCTTCTATCTTCTGGACAAGAAAACTAGACTTTTTATTGAATTATAGGTAATTCAATAAAAAGCCTAGTATTCTTAGCCATTTATTTTTTTTTTACTTGGAGAAAATCCCTCATGAGACCCGCCGGCCCCGGGGGAAGCCCGCGGGTACTGTGAGACTCCTACTCACTAAAAACTCCAAGATGTCCCTCACCCAACGCCATATGCCGGAGTCGCGGGATCGATAACAGTCAACCGCGACTCCGACGGCGGTGGCCCACTCTACAGCGGGCTCCATCTCTGCGGGGAAAAAATAGTTTTCTCAGCCTAGCCTAGCCTGCTCTAACTTAAAAAAAAGAGATGGAAGAAAAAAAACAATTTCTGCAAAGTGTAGTCATTATACTGAATACAATGGCTGTATGGCCTGAGTCCTTTTGCCTTTCCCTGAAAAGGGAAAACAGAACAAAAAAAAAGTGTAGTAGTTATTTGCTAAATTGTAACACCAAGTCTTGCGTAACTAGGAAAGATTGTTCTTTTGGCGAATGCACCATGGTGCCAATGCAATACAAAAAAAAGATTGTTCTATAATTTTTTTTCCCCATATTCGTCCATCTCCTTTTTAATGATGGAACAGGCAAAGATCCTTAGACCGTACAGCCTAGGCTACGTTTAAACTTCTTCATATTTGAACAAGTGAGATTGTTCTATAAATCTTTGACACATTTTTTAGCGCCATATTTGCAAGCAACCGCTTGTATAGAATCATTTTGCAGGTATAGAAATCGGTAAAAATTTACTGTAAATAACGGCAATTACATAATAAAAGCATAATTGTTATCTGTAATTATACCTATAATTATGTTTTACTTATTAGATATCATTAATAACGATTTGTTATTAATGATATCTAATAAGTATTACATTATCTATGTCATTGTGTAACAGATAAAATTGCATTATCAAAATAAATGCACAAATTATATAAATGTTACCTATCTTTACTAACATTATAAAAATGAAAATAACATTGTCTGTCTGTCTCGCTTGCACACTGAAATCACTATCAAATTTGGTATACAGATAGTGTAGATCCTGACGAAGGACGTAGGCTTTTTAATGCGAAAAAGGGTTGTAAAGGGTTGAAAGAGAAGATGAAAGGTTATATGGAAGGTCGTCATTTTACGCGGACGAAGTCGCGGTCGCAGCTAGTACTACATAATGTGAAAGTATTATTATTTTCGAATTAGAAAGAAAGAAAAAGGGTTAGACTGTGGATCTGAAAAGAACTCTGGGTTACACTGTGGTCCTGAGAAGAATCCTTGGTTACACTGTAGCCCTGAGAAGAGCCCTGGGTTACACTGTGGGTCTGAGAAGAGCCGAGGGTTACACTGAAAGAAAGAAAGAAAAATATTTTATTCATTGCAGTTCAGAATTGATTCGAAATTACAAAATTCTTAACCTAATATGTAACCTATGATGATATAACTATGAAAGAACTGCTTTTAGCAATAAGGCCACTTAATTCTTTAATATATTGCTAATGTCTTTTCTTTTAAATTACATTATATCAACTTTTTTATTTGACAGTTTGTATTTACACAAAATTCCTAAGAATTTAAATTCTGACTAATGTTTTTTTTAAAGAGCAACACATTGTGATAAGTCTGCGTTCCTAATGAGTGAAAGAAGTAAAATCGGAATTCGGAATTTAGTTTTTTTTTCAGGACGATTCACACAGCACCATCTAGTCCCAAGCTAAACAGAGCTTGTGTTATGGGTACTAGACAACTGATATAAATTCATGGATATTTTTATTTGTAAATAAATAAATATTATACATAGAAAACACCCAGACCGATACAAACAATCATACTCATGAATACAAATGTTTGTACCGTGCGAGCAATCGAACCTGCGACCATCGAATAGTAAACCGTTGTGCTAAACCACTAGACCACCGAGGCTGTCAAGAAGATAGAAGTAAAAAATATGACTATTCATATATAAAAGTGCTTTTTGTCTTTTATAACAAATTATAAACGTTATTACTGTGGCCCCCTTATCCTAATGTGCCCAGGGCCTCTAATAGGTGAAAGACGGCCTTGGTTACCATTTACCATCAGGTGGGCCGTCAGATTGTTTGCAATTCAAATTACATAATAAATGTACAGAACGCCTGCCAAAAAAATAGTAGCAAAATACGCTATCATTAAAATTTATAAACTTGCATTAGTTGACCATTCGAATCTACGTCTAATTAATTTATAATTCATTAGTTGATAAAATATTTTATTAATATTATAAACTTTTTTTTTTAGACTACTCTAATGCTGTTGTCCGCAGCAGGCCTTTACAGCTTCACCGGACGATAGGGGGCGAGTGCAGATGGCACTCCGAATCAAAAGAAGGAGTTATGGAGCGGCTGAAGGCCAACTCCCGCCTTTAGTCTGAGGGCATCACTAAGGGTTCGAATTTCGGCTCAGGCCGTCATAATATCGATCCCCGTCTGAATTGGACGGGGGATCGATCGGAGGGGTAATATTATAAATGTGA